CACTTGCCTGGCAGGCGCTTTTGCCGCTTAGCTAAATCCCCAGCCCCTTTATGCTGCTCTTGATTCCATTTTGAAGACCACCTAGCAGGACCCCAGAAACTCTTGATTTTTGTCCTGGAGGGGTTGCCACCACAGGTGTGGAGCCTGGGAAGCTTAAACCTGAGATACAGAATGGATCTGAGGCCATCAGGGGCTGGCAAGCAAAGAGAACTAAGGTGAGAGACAGAAGCAACCGGTGCACGGTACTCAAGCACTTGGTGGGACAGAGCCTTACTCCTGGGAGGAGAGTCGGGCCAGCTGAAGCTGACATACAAACGCACAAGCACTGATGATGATCCCTGACTGTGACAAGGCAAAGGGCGGCTCAGAAAAGTGAAAAGCAGCAAACAAAAGTCAAACAAAGTGTTATAAATATTTTCTGAATTTTTCATATAGCCCATGCTATCTATTCTGTGTCCATGAAAATTTGACTTAGGAGTCTTGAAAATCACAGCTGTATTGTATTTTTCCACAGCCTTACCTTAATAGATGATGGATTGTTAAGTACACCTGCCACAGCCAGGAACCCTTTGCAGTCACAGTATATTTTCACCCTGTGAACTGCAATTAAGCCCATGTTTTTGCCTCCCAATCTATCTCATTAGCACAGATTTGAAAAACAACTAATGATGAGAAATTTCACATTTGCATATAGAGACTTAATAAACTTACCTTTCCAATGTGCAGGTTAGAAAATGTGAGTGAAGAGGATGTGGAATGTGGAACCAGAAATGAATTTGACTGTATCATTGTTATTCTATTTTGTTTTTGTTTATTTAACTTGAAGCACTTTGGCTTCATGTCCATCTCTATAAAAATCATAGATTAACTACTTAGAATTATGAGAATGGAATGAAATAAAACAGAATGTATAAAAGTTCCCATAATGCTGGGTATTCAGAAACGCATACGCAAAATGATTGTATCTATCATTTATTCACATTGTTCAGGGTTAGGATTTGGAGAGTGTTCTGTGAAAGTGTGCCCCAATCGTTTCCGCACCTGCACGGGATGCTCATCTTTAGTTCTCACTGTGTTAGATTTTACTCTTTATATCTCATCTAGACCTATGACCCAAATGACACCATGTAGCACTACACTTTGAAGAAAGAAGTCTTCAGACACAGTCTTCCAGCAGTTTGTCTTCATTTCCCTTCTTTCCCTGTACTCAAACTCAAAATCTCCAGGTCAGGTTCACTAAATCACCCCTAACATGGAATGCTTCTGCTTAAAAACTTCTTTTAGTTGCCCATTTCCTATGAAATAAGGTTCAGCTAAAGATTGCACTCCTAGGAAACCATGTTTAAATACCCTACTCCTTGGCTCTTTGTTCCACTCTAAATTACATTTGTGCATCTCCTATACTGTCACACTTTCCTCTCTACAGTGCCGATTCCTTCCCATGTATTCTTCTTGGACATGGGAAAGCAGAACTCACACCTTCCGCTTCTATATCTCTCATGACACCTGCCATATTATTGTGCTAGTAAAAACCTCTCTCAAGCTAGGAGAGTGGTGCAGTAGTAGAACACTTATGTGGCTTGCACAGGGCCCTAGAATTGATCCCCAGCATTGAAAAGGAAAAAAATTCCTTCCTTTGATTGATATTAATACTAATGGTAATTCCATACAAGACTGAAATTGCACATAATTCTGGTACCTGTCTCAGGTGCTTAACTAATCCTATGATATTGGTGAAAAAGGAACTAAATTATGACTAGAATAAACATAGGTTTTGTTCTCACTTCCACCCATGAGTAGCTAAATTTTAAAAATATTTTTCCGAGAAAATGATAGACAGACACATACATGAATGCACATGGGTGTGCGTGCATGCACACACACACACACACACACAGAGGACTGAAGAAGAGACAGATAAAAGAGGAGGGAAAGTCTGCACTTTAATAAAGGCTCCTGCTGTGCTGGCCTTATCGTCTGTAAGATGAAGGCATGCCATTTCTGCTAATAAAGGTTTTTCTTTTTTAATTTAATGTCATCATTACCAGTTTATACTCTAAGACTTTCAGATTTTCATGGAAATGAAGGAAACAGGTATCCAATGATCTCAAACCCACATGCATTTATGCCTAAAATCTTCAACCCCTGAATCAGTGAAATGGTCTGAATATGCAACCTGAAAAGGTCAAATTGGCCAAGAATATAATTGGCCCAACATCACGTTGTAATTAAAGCTACAGAAAGTTCGAACATGCCACCTTTCTGTCTCTCAAATGCTGAAGGAAACAGGAGTTTCACAGACCATAGGAGATGCACGGATTAATTACACAGCGGTGTGATATTATTCCTGCCAGGATAGTCCCTCTGAAATGTCAGAAGGATTAGAAGTGCCACGTCTTCCTCCCAGACTCTAATCTTAAA